AGATATACAACCTCTACCACTCCCTGAAAAATGTCAGAGTTCCTTGGTATTAAAACATGCAAAGTATATTCATGTGCTCACTGATGTGGCTGGTACAGACCTGTTATTGCTGGTTGATACTGGCTTCAGAGGAGTTCAGTCACCACCATCACTACTCAGGCAACACCTACTCTGGGATTTATGGAGAGTGAAAATTATATACATACATATATATATGTGTTCATATATATATATAAAAGAAAGGATGATTTCTAGTAACTCATAAGGCAGTAAAACTGTGTGGAGTTGACAAAGTTCTGAGAAACACTAAATAAGAAAGAATTAAAGTGAGATGATAATTAAAAATAAAAAAAAGAAAAAGAAATGTTTACCTCATTCACAGCTGAAATAGCCATTCAATTTTCAGGATTCTTAGTTTACTGGATCCATATCTAAATATCTTGAGGTTTTAAAATTTATCAAAATGTAGGCCTGCTTGTTGGTTATATTAAATACTATTTAGGATAATGCTTCAATAGGGTGCGCTGGGATTTACTAGGTAAGAAATGTTAACATTACATTTTTTTAATAACTCTATTCATCTCTAAGATGTACTACTGCTTTATTCATTTCTAGTGTGAAACTGATAAAACTGATTCAAACTGATAAAGAAACAGGAGGATAATGAAAAAGAAAGAAAGGGTTCCTGAACCTCTGATCTTTACATTGTATTTTTATAATAATAAGTTCAGCCATGATAATTGAATGTGTCACTAGCCTCACATATTTTGATATATCAGTTAAAAGAAAGTATTTTAGGGAAAATAAAAGCAAATCAAGTATCAAAGGAAGAAACAGATAAGTACATGAAAACCAGCTTGGAGTCCTCAGCACAGGAAAGACATGAACCAGTTGGAGCAAGTCCAGAGGAGGGCCACAGAAATGATCAGAGGGCTGGAGCACCTCTCCTATGAGGAAAGGCTGAGAGAGTTAGGCTTGTTCAGCCTGGAGAAAAGAAGACTCTGGGAGACCTTACTGTGGGCTTCCAGTTCGTAAAAGGGGCTGTAGGAAAGATTGAGAAAGATTTTTAAGCAGGGTCTGTTGTGATAGGATGAGGGGTGATGGTTTTAAACTGAGAGGGGGGATTCAGGCTAAACATGAGGAAAAAAAACATTACAGTGAGGGTGTTAAAATACTGCAACAGGTTGCACCGAGATGGATGGATGCACCATTCCTGAAGGCCAGGCTGGATGTGGTTCTGGGCAACCTGATCTAGTTGAAGATGTCCTTGCTTATTGCAGGCAAGTTGGGCTAGATGGCCTTTAAAGATCCTTTCCAACCGAAACTATTCTATGATTCCATGATCATAAATCTAAGTGCAAACTGCTTGGCAGAAGACTGAGAGAAAAAAATATCTGTTCTCACTCCCAGTAAGTGAAAGCAGAACTTCTTTTGCATAAGCCATCTTCTTGGGAGATATTAATACCCTGGTGTGCTCAAATTTTGAGGATGCATAGTGGATACTCATCCTAAGGGATTATTCTTACCCTTTGGTGAAAAGCTTTTCTATGCAATGATAAATCTGTAGAAGTTTTATCTCCATCAGTAGGGGTTAAGGTATGGGTAAGAAAATAGAGTTTAATCTGTTGGACATGCTTAATGAAGGACAGGAACAAAGTTAAACAGGATATTGTCAACTTGCAAGAACTTTCTTTTCTTATTTGCATATGTTAGTGCTTTGTTTCCTTCTGCTTAAAACAACATTTCATTTTCTCCCTAGGATTTACTTATTTTTGCCAACCATTGGGGTGCTTTGAATGATAGAGTACCTCAGACCAAAAGTGACCAAAGGAATTAATGAATTTTAGGCCCCTACTCAAAGCAAGGCTAGCTTCAAAGTGAAGTAAGATTGCTCAGGGCCTTGCATCATCAAGGCTTGAGTTATCTCTAAGGGTGGATATTGCACTACTTCTCAGGACACACATTCCATTTCTTGGCTACTCTCATGCAAACATTCCTTTTTGCATCTCGACTGAATTTCTCCTGTTGCAGCTTGTGACCACTGCATCTTGTTTTTTCACTGTGTACTTCTAAGAAAAGTTCATCTTCATCTTCTCCATAACCTCCTTTTGGTAGCTGAAGACTGAAACAGAACCCTTCTTTAACTTTTTCTCTAAGCTGAACAAACCCAGCTTTCTCACCCTACCTTATCCACCCACCTCATAATTCTGGTCCACTGTGATGGGTTCTCTCCAGTTCTTGCTCCCTGCTCTCTGTTGTACAGAGACAGAAACCTTGACACAATATCCCAGTTGCGGTGTCATGAGTGCTGAGTATAGAGAAGTAACCACTTCCCTCAGTCTTCTGGCTATGAATTTGCTAACACATCCCAATATGCAAGAAGCTTTCATCACCAATAGGACAAACTCATTTTCTGTTAACTGGATTCTCTATGTAGCCAGAATCCACCCTTGCATTTATCAGAGGGAGACTTCCTGCAACCTATGTACAACCTCTCCACAAGAATTTCTATAAAAGCAGATATTTTAGAGAAGTAGAGGCAACAGTATTCACATAATTCCTACTAAAAACTGGAAAAAATATATATACATATATTTATTTTCTTGTGCTTTGCACATGCATTGAAGTTAGTGAGTATAATAATCGGGTGTCAGTATACATAAGTGTAAGATACACTTAACATTCCTTATGGAATCAGGTGACTGAAACAAGAACAGCCTCCACCCAAAACACAGATATCTATCAAGGGGTGAGGTAATTCATAATTTGGAATTGTATTGGTGGATCCTAAGTACTTGAAAGAGGAGCATCAGATATATGTGTGAAGCCAAAACACGAACAGCAAAAATAAAAGGAAAGATCCTGTGGGTATATACGCCAGAGAAAAACCTGTACAGAGATGTTTTGGCCACTTTCTCTTGAGAGAAATTATGAGGTAAGAGTAAAACATTAAAGATACACAAAAAACATGCTACTAGAAAGGATGGCTTTTTTTTTCCCAACGTTAGCCCTTGGTGCTAAATACACCCTTATTTAGCTGGTTGGGGTTTTTTTAATCACTATTAGGAAGTGATGACTTTTATAGGAAAAAACTTCTTTTTTATAGTGTAAAGCCTCTTGCGTGTCTAATTTGGTTGAACAGCAAATAGCTTTATAACCTAACAGATGGTGAGCTTCAGGGAGACTCTACACACCAAAACTGTATCAATTTAGGTGGTCATATTTACAGTTGTACAAATGCGTCACTCCAAGGAACTTGTTTTTAGTCTTAGGAGTTTGATTACTGTAACACCCTTCTGCTGGCAGTCTGAAATTGGTCTGGGTGGTTAATACAGGTTTTTAAAATGTAGTTAGGCATCCTTAAAGCTAAATTGATGTAAGGGTCTGGGATTGAAGTGCCCATGCCAGAAGTCTGGATTGATTTCTAACTGATATCAGTTTACTCCTCTTGGCTGTGGAATAGTATAGAGAAACTAATGAAGACGTAGCTGTCTAGGTTGAGTCAGATGAATCAGGTATATGAATGAAGTCACTCAGTGACTTGTCTGGAAAGAATGTTGTTTCCTGCTACTGAGAATGAAGGTCCTTTCTGCCTAGACACTGAGGAAGGGCTAGATACATCCTCAAAGTGATGAGGGTTAATGTTTGAGAGACCTAGAGAGCATATGTGCTGTGCAAGGGAATAAAAACATCAGTCTGACAAATGTGACTTTGGAAAGGACATAGAATCCTTGTGGTACTACATTGCAAACTATGTGTATGTAAGCTAATGGCTTGAAACTTTTCTTTTTTACAGGTATTCCTATACCAGACCTATTTATAAACTGCATACACAGGCAATAGGAATAGCAGACCAAAGCACAGCTCCTGTTCTCTATATTCCCCCTCCTTTCCATAATAAACTATGCTATGTCAGTAAAGGAAAAATGCAAGTATGAGGTTATTTAATGTTTTCATAGAATTAAAATATTTCAGCTGTCCTGCTTCCCTTACCAGTCTGCCCTCTCCAGTCCCAGATAGGCCCTGTTTATGTCCAGTACATGTGAGAGTGGGGTGTGTTGAAGCAAAATACCTTAGCTCTGAAAATGCAGCAGGGAAAAAAATAAAGCTTTGTTTAACAATACTTTATAAGTCCTCAGTGTTATGACTTCAAATTGTGGACTTAAGCTGAAAGTATACTGGAGACAATTTAAAAAAGAAATTTTAAAAACAATTAGAGCCTATTTTGTACAATTTTATCAACTATTTAGAATATCTTTTTTTTTGTGGTTCTCATGGAATCTAAATTGCCATGTGAGTCACTTAGGTATCACTTTCTTTTTTCCCAGGAGTAATCTGGGGAAAGGGTGTTGTTCCAGATCTGACAGGGTTCAACTTTACTGAACCCATTGTATGCACCCAAGCATGCATTAAATTAAATATTGTGATCACAACAGAAACAAATGAGGCAAAAGATTGCTGTATAATTCCTCACACTTTGTCCTTATGTACAGGAAGTATCATTTTTCCCCTGCCATTGCTAATAAAAGAACAGGCAGCAGGGAAAATGCTGCACCAGCACTGCTGTGCAGAATGCATGCTGTGTGTTATGGGCACTAAATGTAACCTGTGCTAAGTGTCACTGCAGCATTTGCTTGCATAAGGAGTTGTCTGTGTTTCAGGCAGCACAGAAGCCCAGTATTCACTTTCATACCCTGTGTGAACTGCCTTGCTGCTTAATGTAGAGATGACATTTACCACTGATACTCTGAAGGGGAGAGAGGCCTTAGTCCCTGCCCTTTGCCTGTTCCTGCATCATGTGAAAAAAGCCACATCAGCGTTAGCCTCAGGCAGACTAACCCCAGGCAGGCAGGTCAGGGCTGCAAGCACTTACAGCTACTCTTGTCCCTCACTTCTGTGACTCTTGGTAAAGTGACCCCAGTCGTTCCACACACTCAAAGTGAGATCCAGCAGATAGTGAAATAGCACTTTTTTTTTCTTAGTTTTTTCTTTTTTTTTAGATGTTGAGGTCCGAAGCAGAAGTATTTCCAGCCAAACAGCTTAGTACAGGGTCTAACACATTACCTTCAAGGCTAAGTAGAGGACATGTCAAGGTAAGTGGTTCAGTTATAGCTGTCTTATACACACAACATGCTCTTTTGGAGTTGACCTTGGTGGTAGAAGCAGTATTCTGTGCTTTTGATCCAAAATATACTATGAACTTGGTACTAATATCTTAGTAGCAAATGTTTATGCATTATGTTTTATTAGATGTTGTTTTTTATTCTATAAAACATGAAATGGCCACCATCCTGCAATTCAACTTGGATGTTTGCCTTGGAATTTTATGAGTCCTTCTTTTCCCTGCTCAGTATGAAGTTGTTATATACATGATGGAAAAGGAAACACCTGAAAAGCATTAGACAAACTGTTTATCACATTTAGGCTATAGATTGAAGCCCAAATGGAAAATATATTCTACTTTGTTTTCTATGCATAACCTTGTAATGTGTAAATTTAATAATGGAATCTGCAGGGTGCTTCTTCCTTTTCAGCTGGCACATACAGAGTAGGCTGGAAACAAGACAACTGTAGAGGACTATGGTGTCACCTGGACACTTCTTACCACAGGTTCCTGAGCAGATTTTGTCCACAGAAGAGTTAAAATAAGACTGGGAAAGAAGATTTTGGAAGAAAGTAGTCCTGAACGACAATAAAAGACAAACATTTCTTCTCCACTCGTACAACTTCTGTATTTCTGAAGTGTTACTGAGGGCTTGTCAGGGCTGCAGTCAACAGTTTGCCAGAAATTCAGAATTCAAAGTCAAGCTTAATTTCAAAAGACTGTTGGCTAATCACTTTTTGGCTTTCGCTGGCAAATGATGTATGAAACCCTGTCAGTAGCTGCATATTTTATTCAATTGTTCTGTCTGAAAGTTAGAACAGAGTAGGGTTTACAGGGGAAAAGGTGAGCATGATAAAGTGGAAAGGGAGAAAATGTTGACCTCACAACAAACAATAGTGTGTTAAAGAGATTAATTAATTATTCTGAGGGATTTCTCTATTGATCCAAATTAAGCCCTTGCTAATTCATTGTGCATATGAGAAATTTCATGTTAAATGAAGTTTGTTAGCCTTCTGCTATTCTGTTCTTGTAGGAAGTATGAATAATGCAGACTTGATCAATTACAGGCCTGCATGTTACTAGTATGATTCCATTCACTCACTGGACCATGTCAGGTTAAAAAAGTGTTTCCTCCTAATCTTGCACAGCCAGGATGTTACACTGGAAAGGGTACAGAGCTGTAGAAGGGCATAATACAGGATCACAGAAAGGGGTGCTGTTGTAGTAGCTAGTAAATCTCCACTGAGCATCAAAATACCCCAGGTAAGTAAGTAAGCCTGCAGAAACAATGTGTACCACTGCCCAAGGTCAAACGACAAGATCAGCACCAAGGCAAGTAGATTTTATAGAGGAGTTTTCAGTGTAAGGTCATGAGCCTTAGAAACTTCTGTTTGAGTTGCATGCACTAAGAGCAGATAAGCCCACAAACCGAAGGTCAGAAAAGCAAAAGAACCTTGATCCTGCAGGAAAGCCAAAATACAAAACAAAACTGAGGAAACTGTTTCTTGGGAGAAGTGTTAAAATTCAAGAAATTGTCTTTTATTTGTCAGACCCTTGTTCGGCAAAAATGTGGTTTATAATGCTTTTTTTTTTATATTTTCTTTTTTTTTTTTTTTAGTAAACAAGATTGTGTGAAAGTACCTTGCTGCAAAATGAGTGTCCCCCCAAAAAATTAAGGCATTACAGGAAGTGACAAATCATAGTGTACCCCAAAGTCCTCTAAGCATCCAACCCCAAACCAGACTGGCAGAAGAGAAGTTTCTTTCCTTGCTATGTGCATAGCATGGGTGGTGCCCCTACATTGGATTCTGTGTTGGTGCGAAACCTTATGCCAAGATGCATGATACAGATAGGCTCACGTCAATAACAGAAAAGCAGAGATACACCCTGACACACCTACAATCTTCTTCCCTTTTGTAATTCAGGTTCTCTACAGCTGTAAAGAAGCTAGGGAGAAGCTGGGGCACATACACGACTGAAGAGTGTGTGATTGACAGCTTCACAGGAGCCACATAGAGATGAAAAGTGTGTCAGTGATGGAAGAGCAAATACTGGTACCCTGTCTTTTTTCACTCCCCAGGAAAACCTGTGCCAGAAGGACTGGGTGGAAGACTTACTCATCATGTGGGAGTTCTGTCTTTACATTTAGGAGAAATTTAAAAGTTAGATTCCCAAGATGATTCTGAGATCTGGTATTCTGAGCTCATTTGTTTTTCTGTTGATGATATCCAACTCTGCATCAACTACTGTGTTTGCCAGCTGTTTAAAACACACAGGAGAGATAACAAACAATGTTTAAAATCCATGCTGTGTATCAGACCTCTGTTTCACATGGATCTGAATGATGATCTTCCACCTCTTAGGTGATTTTCTAATCAATGTGCCAAATTTGTTGTATAGGACTACTGGCAGTTTTGTGAATCTAATTCCTCTCTTTTCATCATAACTGCCCCAAACCAAGGTAATTTTGAAGTGTGAAATAAATATATATATATATATAAAGAGAAACAACAAAAAAAAAACCCTGTTGTTCTGAAAATAGTCATTTTTATGTCGACTGAAACGATCACTCAATTTTCCACAAATTCAGAATAATTTCTAGTCCCTCAAAAGCTTTCTTTTTTTCCCTGACAAACAGATTACTTTGTAAAGAGCCTTTCACTCATCTGTACTGATATGGAGTCTAATACTAACCAATTTCTTGAGTCAAAATGAATTACACTATGATTTGATAAATCTTATAAAGATCTAACTTAAACATAAGCTAGAATTTGTACAGTAGATTCTAGCTGAGGTCAGGAGTTTCATGCTATTTCTCCAAGTCCTCTAAACATGACTGAATAAAAAAATGCCAGTACCAAAAGGTATCACAAAGTACAGACCAAACTCTGCCCTCATTTATGGATCTTTGACACCAGGCAGGTCGCACCTGTGTAAATGTGAACAAAATTCCAGTGCATGTCTTAAACTGAACTGAACTCAGCTTATTCTTTTCCAGAGGAGGATGTAATATAAACCTTCAGGATATCATTCTGAGTAGAACTATTTTGGAGATTGCTTTTCCCATTGCTAGGATCATGAGACCTCTTGATTTAATTTACCCTGAGTTTATAGGTTCTAGCAAAATATTTATTTTGATAAAATAAAGCAAAGTTCTAAAATAAAACTTCAAACTTGGTATTTTTATTAGAAATCTGAAATATCAGCAGGGTTTGCAAACTGTTTTATATGCCTTGCTTAAAGTTCTGAGTGAATCTGTACCAAAATTTATTTGTCAAGAGACTGATGGCTGTGAATTATATTAATACAAAGCTTTATTAAGGGGAACGTTTTAACTCAAAACTTGGGGAACATAACCACTATTGCCTAATTTTTACTACTGCTTAAATCTAAAGCTCAAAAACACAAAAATAAAAGTCAGAGCAATTTAAAAGAAAGAGAGAAACAAAAAGTGCAGTTAACCATGTAAACTAAAAATATTCTGTTGGATTAAGAGATTTTACCAAGTTACAAATTTGATTATTACTTTTGTTTTGTGTGTGTAGCAAACATAAGCACCTGTAAGTTATCTGCTTAATATATAACATTATTCTGTTACTGATATGGATGAAACAAAATGAATCCCAGGCAACTGCATACGTTGTAATATCTTTCTTTCCTGTATCAAAATCCACTTTATGCAATAGAATCACATAATCACAGAATGGTTTGTGTTTGAAGAGACCTTTAATGATCACCTAATTCCAGCCCCCCTGCCTGGGTTGGAACTAGACCAAGCTACTCAAACCCTCATTCAACTTGGCCTTGAACACTTCCATGGACCATCCACACCTTCTCTGGGCAACCTGTTCCAATGTCTCATTACCCTACCCCACCCCAAAATACTTCCTTGTGTCCAATCTAGATCTACCATCTTTCATTTTAAAACCATTACTCATTGTCTTGTCACTACAGGCCTTGGTAAAAAGTCTCTCAAATTTATTAAATGTCAAAATGTAATAAAATAGCATAAGTAACCAGATCAAGATACAACACATTTTAAATAAGGTCTCAGGAAGCTTCAGAGAACAGTTCTACAAAACTAAAATACAAATTTCCTTTTTTTATAACACACATATATCCCAGCTTAGAAACATTTCTATGTTAGCATGGCCATCTTAATCTTCAGAACTGTGGAAAGTAGTTGAAGGATGGAGATTTCACAAATGATGTGTGGCTCAGGGAAATTTGGTTTTTAGGAAGTTCAGTTACCAAAGCATAAATCAATAGATGCAAACTTTTCTAAACACAACAATGAAAACATTGTAAATATACTCCAAGCCTTTTTTATTTTTTCCTCAAAAATGCTCACTACTGGGACAGGACTGGGACTGGTGTTCCTTGATTCATTTTGGGAAGAACTTGCTGTACAGCAGAGATGAAAGTCCAACTTTTGTGGCACATTTTTCTAAAATCAGTACCCATGTGTTGTCAGGTGTTCAGCTCTGTTAAGTGTCAACCAGCTACTCCAAGATGGAGAAAATACTGATGTGTGGGAGGTTTGTCCTGATGCACATGTAAACTATGTATATGGTTTAATACTGAGAAGTGGAAAGCCTCAAAACTGAAGCTAGGTGAGGCCTTTTCTATATTTTGTGGTTGATGTGAATAAAGAAAGGAGCAACTAAAATAAGGTATTTCAGTGAAAGCTCAATCTAGAATCAGAGAAACAGGATCCATTTCTTCCAGAAAGACAAGGTATTTTAATTCAGCTCCTCCTGACAAAGCCATGCAGTGGCATTTCCCTTCAATACAGAAAGAAAACACTAAAAATTATTACATTAAATTAAAAATTATTATTCAGTGTAGCATTTGTGCAGCAAAGGTAAGTCAGTGGCATGATGTTCAAAATGAAAGGGAAACATGAAACATTTAACTTCTTGAGTATATCTGTATCACAAATTTCAAGCTATTCTCTGAAGTCACTGTGGTTAAATTTCTGCTGAAGAATAGGGTATTGCATGCTGGATATTACTGCATTGATTAAGGCTTAAATTCTTGACCTAAGCAAGGTTTAGGTTATCCTAGCAGAAGCAGAACTCAATACATGTCTTCATCTACACTGAAAACCCATACATACTTATAAGCAAAATAACAGACAGTAGTGATTATGCTTGGTATTAGAAGAATTTCTTTGTGTAAATGAAAAGTATAAGGAGTCTGCATCTCTGAGCGGTATAGTCAGAGATGAGTTTCATGTTGATAAGCTTCTGCAGTATGAATTTCCAGGATCTGTAAAAGTGAAGTACACATGACTGAAAAACAAGTACAAAACATATCTCTAAATTCAGAAACAAGCCCAGATGTTCGGATATACAGCAATGAGATACGTACTGTCTAAATATATTAATTCAGTGCTTTAGAAGTGCAGAATATCTTTGCCTAATATATGGATATATTAGAAATATTATACAGATGTAGAAAAAAATATAAGGAAGACAGATTCTACCACTCCTTTTTCAACTATAAACAACGTTTCATTTTCTCAAAATGCATTAAAAATTATGACAACGTGGGGTGTACAAAGACAGTCACCAGCTACAGTATGAAGTGTTTTCCAAACAGGGACACAAC